TGAAATCATGTGTGACACAGGTAATTGTTCAGCTACAAAGACTGGAGATTGTGATGATATACGAAGGAAGCAACAGGGAAGTCATGGGGTGATTGAAAGAAGGAATCTTGCAGTTTTTGCCAGTGCCCTTCGAAACAACGACATTCTTTTCAACAACAAAGAACCGAACAAAGAAAAAAGACAAAAGACGACGACGACAGCATGACTTGGACAAAACATCCAAAAATTCAAACCTTCCTTCTCTTCTTGTCTCCCCCAGTAGCTGCAGTCACTCCCTCGTCCTCGTCTTCCTTGTCGACTGCCGCGCGAACATTCGCCGCCGCGCCCTCGACTTGCCGCCAATCTCTGACTTTGGCTTCGATGTCATCAGCCATCTCTCTCGCATCCTGTACCATGCCTTCCATGCCAGGGTTAAACATGACGGCATTGGCAAACATCCTCATGACCTCTTTNTCCAGCTGGCTAGAATTGACAATCGCTTTGGGAGGGATGAGATCGGGGGTCTTGTCTAGCAAGACTAGAGAAGCAGAGGTGGAGGAGGGGGTCGCGGCTGGGGAGTCGAGAGAAGCAGTTGCGGTGTTGATGGCGCGAGACCCAAAAGTTATGGCTGCTTTGATGGATTTGAGGTCTTGAGGGCGTTTGATGATGGTAGTGTAGCCCTCGGCGTCCTTTTCCCGCACAGGCTTCTGAAAGGGGCCCGCGTGTTTGTGTTGGGTGATATCGTTAATGATCACGTTAGATATGCGGGCAAAATTGCGATGGGCCTGGACTTTGGTCTTGAGGGGAGGTCCGTAGGCAGGTCCTGTGACTTCGGATTCTGGAAATTCTGCAGCAGGTGCTTCGGAAGAAGGTAGTGGAGTCGCTGAACGGGCCCGCTTGCGTTTATTGGTCGAAGCACGGCTGCGTCTTGATCTGAGTTGAGAGGGTGGGTCTGAGGTTTCGGCTTGAAGAATTTCTTCTTGGAGCAGGTCGGCGGGTGTCATTGGTTCGTCCTTGACAATCCGTGACATGACCGAGGGCTCTACATTGGCAGTCTGACCTTCGGCTTGTGAGAGAACAGATTGACTCCTTGTCCTGGCACGCACAGAGCTGGCAATGGCGGAGGAAGCATTGCTGACAGCACGATTGCGCCTGGTAGATTTGCGAGTAGAAGTGACAGGCTTGGGAGTTGGCTCTGCTTCTGCCTCTTCAGTGTGCGAAGGGTGTTCCGCAACAGGCTTAGGCTTGATGGGAATATCCTTGGTAGTGCGAACAGGCGAAGCTTCTCGCGCGGGCGGAGGTGAGCTCACACGTTCTGGGACAGGGCTCACCACACCATCGAGCAACGGCCGAGACAACAATGATGGTCTCTCACGCTTCCAAGTAGCAGCACGAGAATTGGAGCGAGGAGTCATCGAGCGAGATAGAGTTGCACGTGGAGTCTTTCGCAGACTGCTCAAAATATCCAAGGCATTGACCTCGGGACGTCGAGGATCTGGTGGGGCGGGATATGCGTATGGCGTATGAGGAGAGTAGGGAGCGGGAACATGCTGACGCGCAGGAGTAGGCGGTTGACGGGCGTGTGAATTCGCGACCTGCTGCTGAGCCAGTTGATGTTGGTGCATCCTGCTGGGGTCCTGAGCAGCAACCTGGAAGGGCGGTAGTTGATAGCCTCCTTGATGAGGGGGACGAGGTGGGTATGGCAACTGCTGTTGGTTTGGGTAGGGCGGCTGCTGAGGGTATGGTGGGTAAGCTTGGTGGTAGGCCGGAGGAGTGTTCGCGTGAGGTGCTCTAGGGGCTGGCTGAAGCGGTACTGGAGGCAGACGCTGGGTGGGTGATGGATACTGAGCAGGACCGCCACGTGTCGACACAGCGGGAGAGTGTGAACGAGGTGGCACGCTCATACCAGGAGGGAGTGGCAGGACTGGACGAGGTGAGGATGGAGCAGGACTGTGACGAGGGCTTGAGTTCGCATTTGGGCGAGCAAACTGAGGAGGGAAGCCATTCTGCTGTATGACAGGAGACAGGCGGTAAGCCGGAGCTGCCTGCAGGTTTGGTAGCTGAGGAGAAGGTTGAGACTGCTGCATGTGTTGTGGTAGAGGAGATTCTGGAGCCATCTCCGAAAGGGGCGGCAGAGTAGTGGTCGAGAGTCTGTGAGGCACTGCAGGTGGTGCATGCTGCGACTGCGACGATGATGGAAGTAAGGGGGGAGTGGGCGAGGCCGTGGGACGAGCAGCAACGGGTTCATGGTTGATGACGGCGTCGATTTTGGCGCGGTTCAATCTTGCTGGCTCCTTGACTGCAGAAGACGGTGCACTGGCAGCTCCATTGAGTTGTGCAGTCGCGTCTGGCACTGGTGGCGCAGGTGTCGCATCGCTGGACGAAGGTCGCGTGGGCGCGGCAGTGGTAGCAGCCTGCTCGCTCCGTAGACGATGGTCCCACTTTCCGTCCTCTATCTCTCCAATCTCACGCGTCAAGGTATCGTACTTTTCTTCCTCATTTCTGATGTCAGCGACAACGCCATCTCTGTAGCGTGTGTACAGACGATGGACAAGACGAGGNATCAAGTGCGAGTGTTTGGCGGCTTCTTCAACGCTGGGAATGGCCGGGCTGAGCTGTCTCTTCTTTCTGTCCTCGTGCTGATCCAGGCTATTGCGTGCTTCGTCCTTGAGTAGTCGCAGACACAGGTGCTTCAAGGCATCTTCATGCAGACGCGCGCTGTCGTACGAAGGGTCGTTGCGAATGAGAGGTATGCTCTTCAGCTGTTCTGAAATTTGACCGAAGTGGACGGCAGTCAGACCATCGCTGCGCAAGGCGTGCAAGAGCAGAAGCGACTCGAGCGGAGTGTGCTGGGCCAGGCTAGTCATCACAGAGTCGACTTGTCGCAAATTCGTGAGTTGCACAGTAGCGTGTCGGGTTGTGTTCGGGCCAGCAGTTGCGGTAGTTCCAGTTCATGCTTGTCCGGGAACAGGTTTAGGCGTCGTGGCTCATAGTGATTTTGGAGGAAGATGATGTATGGCCTCGATTGAATGGGAGTTGGTGGATTGCAGTGCAGCGTCGTGAATCTTGCACGGCGCCTCTGCCGCTGCCGCCGACGGTTGCTTGGCCAGAGGACTGTTGGAACCTGGAACCTTTGCACTGTTCCACTCTTTGCGACATCATCTGCCTGCAATAGCCATCTGCCTTGACGTCTATCCAACACTTGATTATTTCTTCACATACTAATCATAGAAAAATGCCTTGGTGTCTGCCTGACTACTAATTACTCCGACACTTCCTTCCAGCAAGGCTCAGTAAAGATGCTCAACAGCCACAAGGCAGAACTCAATTCTGATCTACAAGCTGTGCAAAAGTGCCTCGTCTTCCACCTCTGACCACATCACACACTTGTCTTGTCCTGTATGGATCCAAGTACATGTACATTCCTCGGGCACGTCTGCCTTGTCCTTGCTGGGGACTAATGAGCCTTGGCGACATGGTCTTGCCTGAATCAGAGTACGAAGTGCGAGTACTGAGTACGCACCGACAAGTGGTCATGTCGCAGCTTGCATATGATTGAGACGATCCTCCTTTTATCACTCAAGTATTTGTTCATTGCGACACCCCGCCTTCCGTCTTCTTTTCCACATCTGTCCCTGTCTGCTCATTGCTTCATCAACGCCGCCAGCTCTATCGAACCGTGTGATCTACCGACTGCTCCTCCCAACCCTGTCCTATAACGTCATGGAACACACTCCCCAGCAGCGGGCCAGACCCGAGTCGTACGCTTCGTTCTATTGATTCGGCTTCCTTGCCATCCACTTACATGCCCGTAGCATTGCCGCTCGCAACTTTTCGGATGATTTGGATTCTCTATTTGGCTTGAACTCTGGCACAACCCTCGGCAATCTATCATTCACAGTCCAAGAGAAGTCCGTCGCTCCTTTGTTTAGCTATATATTGTACCCAAGCTGACAGGATGCAGAANAGCGCACAGTCTCGACCCGGGAAGAAGAACTCGCAGCCATTGAAGCTCGCCTTCGCGAAACCGAGGAACGTCTAGCACGAGCTGCTCACAGTCCCGACCACGAACTCACGTCACACCAAGCTGCATCCGGTGCTCAGCCATCCTATGCTTCGAGAGACGCTGTCTCCAGACAAACCTCTGGCTACCAATCATACCCCGAACAACAATACCAAGCAAGACCGCCAAACAACAGAGAAGAGTCATTCCAGCCTCACATTCCTGGCGCCATGCCAAAGACACCCACACCACACTATGGTCAGGGACAAGACTATGTGACAGTCGATCGCACCAGATGATGATATCTGCAACACATCAAGCATACGCAGCACCTCGGGATCAGGCCGCTCGGAGTTTTGGGATTGGTCAAGAGGCATTTTCGAGTCAAGGGCGACATTCAGCATGTTTAGAGGTAATTACTGGATTTGTTCCTGTCGTTCTCGTAGGGGGTGATTGTTGGAAGAAGCGACTTTTTTTAATCGTGGCTCGATGGTTTGCGAGCTAGAGCAGCGCCTTTGCATTCAAAGAGCGAAACATTGATCCCTACCATTTTTCGTCCCTCGCCAAGCTGAGATCAAACCTGAAACACATCTTCTCCAGAGGTTTGTTTAGGCAGCATCTCGGGCATGCAATAGTCAGTAAGTCGTGTCGAGCGGGCATCGTCGGTAAATGGTGGAGTGATGGACGGGCTCTTCGGGCCGTGTTTGTCCTTGCAGATCCCGACAAAGAAGATCAGACTCTCCAAACGTGCATCTTGTGGCAGAGTCACGAATAATGAATTCTAATCTCATGCTGAAGCAATAGAGTATGGACATGCTCAAAGTGGTGAAAGACACAAGAAAGTTGGTCCAAAGAAGAATGGACTCCCGCTCACGGCTCGGGCTTGGCAGCGGGCCGCTGACCCTCGTCGGTCGCGACTCGATGGACGGGCCATTACACCTCGGCCTGCGCGTATACCAGAGGGCAACGATTGAAAGAGCTTGGATATTATTGTTAATACAAGAGAGTCTGACTGGACATGACGGATGCCAGCACGAATCCCAAGCGGAATGGGACCATGACGGACACGAAACCAACCATCAAGCAGCAGCAGCAGCAGACCACCCAGAACACAAACACGACCGACACGCCAAAGTCGCAAGAGAGATCCAAGAGCACTGCCACAGTAGACAGCCCGTCAAGCCCTCCGAGAAAGAAGCGCAGAAAGGTCAACCATGCCTGTGTCTACTGCCGTCGATCGCACATGACATGCGACCTCGAACGACCATGCGCCAGATGCGTCAAACGCGACATTGCCCACCTGTGCCATGACGAACCCAGAGAGCCCACCAAGGGCAAGAAGCCAGATACGGACACACCGCCTGCCGACACGAGTGTCATCGAAGACGAACGCAGAAGTAGCTTGAGAATGGACCCTCCCGCCATACAACAGCCCAAGCCAATGTCGCCAGTACACATCAAGCAGCAGAGCCAATCCTCAAACAACCAGCGGCCCTTCTCCATCAACGACTGGAACTTTGATTCGACAAGCCAACTCCACGATATGCGCAATCTGCACCCAAACTACACCTTCAACACCTCCGAGGTAACCGACGAGTATAACTTCCTCGGCGACTTTCTGAACAACAGTCTCCTCGACGACGGCGCAACCTACAACCCCGACGACACGAGCACAATCTTCAATGACCCACTGCTAGCAACCGGCTCCCTCTCCACCTACGCAAACAACATGAATCTCTTCTCAGGCATCCACCAAGCTCAGTCTTCCACCAACCCTCCGCAACAACCACAACCTCAAGACCCCCAAATCTCCGCTCTGGCAACCGACATCACCCGCCCCTCCTCCGTCATACCCGTCGACACCAAAGCCCGCGACAAATTCTACATGACCGCCGCCGACCCCGCCGGCAACGACACCNCCGAAGCCCGCATGTTGAAGCTGCTCCAAGCAAAATACGACGCAGGCATGCTGCGTCCCTTCAACTACGTCCGCGGCTACTCGCGTCTAAACACGTACATGGAATCCCACATGCGCCCACCCCTCCGCCAAAAGATCCTCCGCCAACTCGAGAAATTCCGCCCCAAGTTCAGAGAGGCAATGCACAATCTCACCGACATCCAACTCATCCGCGTCGAAATGTGGTGGGAAAGCACGCTCATGGAATACGATCGCGTCTTTGCCTCCATGGCGATTCCCGCATGTTGCTGGCGTCGCACGGGCGAAATCTTTAGAGGAAACAAGGAAATGGCCGAATTGATCCAGGTGCCCATGGAAGAATTGCGGGATGGAAAGTTGGCATTGCATGAAATCATGGCCGAGGATTCTTTGGTCAGTTATTGGGAGAAATTCGGCGCGATCGCTTTTGATCAGAGTCAAAAGGCCATCTTGACGTCTTGCACGTTGAAGAATCCCCACGACGATGACGACGATACGACGAGTGGTGGAGGAGTGGACAAAGATGAATCAGGCAGAAAATCCGACACAAGACCAGGAAGCAGCAGCAGCAAGAAAAAACCAACGGGTCAATTGAGGAAATGCTGTTTTTCCTTTACGATACGCAGGGATATACACAACATGTAAGTCTTTTGCCTTGTATATCCCTCTCCTGCCCCGAGGGGTTTGAGGATCTTTCAAAGAAGAGTCTTGCTAACTTTATTGCAGTCCTTCGGTCATTGTGGGTAATTTTTGCCTATATTGTAGCCCTCCTTCTCTTTTCATCGAGAGAATCCCCTTTTATTCTATTCTTGTTCTTGCTTTCCATGTTAGGACTTGGCTGCATTGTGTAATCATAAAAAGAGATCAAACGGGATATCATGCTTGAGATGAGGTGGGGAACGCTGAGGACAAGTATTGAGCAACGTATCAGGGACTGACGATCAAAAACTAAAGAGAGTGGAAAAGGCATGAGGCTCTAATTCTGCAACGACTGGAACTCATGCAAGCGAAACGGGACTGGCCTTTCGGCCTGCCAACTATCGAACACATCACTTTCACCGTACCATAGCGAACACCGAATCCATTGTCAAATCAACTGATGCGAAGCGAACTCCTGAGCCAGAGCGTAATCCTCACGCTCGCCGGCACGCTTCGCATCTCTCTTCTTCTTTGCAGGACGCTGGCGGTGCTTGGTGTTGTACTCTGGGATTTGATGCTGGATCTGGCACTTTCTGCAGACATAGGTATCGCACTTGTAGCAGTGAAGAACCCAGGGTGCCAGACACGGCACTTCTCGCCGGATCTGCCGTCCTCGCAGAGTAGAACACCTTCCTCGTCGAACATCTGGTTGTAGTAGACGGGCCGAGGCAGTGGGACTCGCTGGCCTCGGAAGTCGGTCCAGGGACCAGGGTGGTTGCACTATCGATTTCTGGGTCAGTCAATGGTGGCAGTAGAAGTGACATCACAGATATACCTCAAGGTTGCTGTCTTGGATGGTCCAGCCAAGGTTCAGTCTGGTTCCATCGCGCGCGAAGAAGCGGTAGTCAAGGATGGCTTGTCTGACCGGTTCCATATCGGCAATGTTGGCATGAGCGAGAGACGCAAGCGCAAGATCCCTGCGGCTGATGAAGCTCGAGGAAGGCCTTTCGGCCTCCATAGGTTGAGCAGCGGCAGGGAACGGCTTGCGAGCTCCTTCCTACAAGGTTGTCAGCGCAGTTTCACTGTGAAGTCATGGGTGGATGAATTTACCTCGTTGTTGCCGGCGGCGGCGAGAGAGAGTCTGGCCATGCCCGCGTTGATGGGAGTGGACATGGTGTTGATGGACGTGATGATTGTGGTCGTGATTGGGATGGAGGTGAAAATTGATTGTTATTGGAGTGAAGGAGGGATGGTTGCGCAAACACGAAGAAGCGCGCTCTCTTGTGTCTCGATCAAGGAAGTCACAAACTCGGAAGGGACAAGCATTCACTGAGACGCTCGGCTTGTCACTCGCACCTTCACTTTACTGATGCTTCAAGACAAAAGACAGCCAATTCACAAGCTATCGAAACGCACAATCGCTTTCTCAATCGGAAGTGTGGCCATGGAGATGTGCGTAGCCTTCGTCTCTCCGTGGTCAAAGTTGTTCCTCAGAAAGTACCATGTATTTCTACAACTACGATTTGACGATGTCACAATATGCGCGCAAGGGGAGATGTAATCAGGGGCATACTTGACAATGCCTCTCGTACCTTCCTCACTCTGTTAATCCCGGAGCCCCAACGTTTACTCTCGTGCTCACTTGCAGCTACCAATAAGCCATAGAAATACACAACGCCTTTTTGGACCAGCACTGTGGCCAAGGAAACACGCCGATCTATCTTCTCTCCCTGGACATAATTCCATCCTGGAGTCTACCATGCATTTCCATAACGACAATTTGGTCGTATGGGACACATGGAAAGCAATTAAGGGTTGGTTCAGGCACCAAGCGATATTTCAATAGCAGCTCCTTCCTGCAAACTCCCGACCACAGTCTACCCCCTCAACACCATATCCACCACCCGAATGATCTTGGCTGCCATCATGCCTCCAGTAAACCGTATGGAACTTGACAAGCGCATCTCTGAAGCGCACAGAGACACCAGAAATGGCCGTTTCCGCCGCNGAAAAGGTCAACGTGTACAGAAGAGTCTGGGTGACGAGGAGAGACAAGCACTCAAGGCACAGGATTTGGAGGTAGACAGGAAAAACAGGTTCAGATCGCTAAGCGACCGAGCAGCGGCTGTTGGTTGCACAACCGATCNNAATCCCCCGTACGTGCCTGGCGAACTTGTCTATCTCCTCTGCTCGAACGACGACAACTACACTCTGCGCAACACGCGCTCCTACATCATCAGCGACGCCCATGTCTCCTTCAAGTCCTCTCACGACGTGAAGCTGCCAAGGGAGGAGTCCAGACAGAAACGCCAGCACGTCTTTGCTCTCATGAACATGGAGAGTGGGGTTTACATCTCCACCGCCGAGGCCGTGATGGCTGCTCGCTACAAAGGCGCCAGGAGGGCCGCTTTGCGTCTCGCCAAGATGAAAAATATCTACCAAGGCGATGATGTTGGCGCCTTGACTCCTCCGGAGGTCAAGCCAGACGCCGCAGTACAGATCCGCGACGCCTACAATCTCGCCTACGAGCAGGATATCCCGGACGAAGTCTTTTCGCACGCCTCAGCCTTCTACCGTGCCTACGACAACACCTTCCCGGCTGGTTTCACCGAAGACCACCTCGACTTCTTCGTATGGTGGTATGACGGCGAGGTTTATGTCCGCAGACACACCAAGCCTAGCATGGACAACACGATCCTGGCTTTTGCTCCTGAAGACATCGTCGCTCGCCTTGCAGCTGTCCTCCTTGACGCCGATGAGGTGGCAAGATTCGCCAATGGAGTTGTGCGCGACGCCGGGATCACCGACCTCTGCTGCCTGAGCCCGATAGCAGCAAAGGACGCCGTGCCAGACGCTCAGGCAATCAGAGAGCAAGACGACACCATCGAGCAGATCGCTCGCTTGGGCTACGATGCTAGAAACGAGATCGGACAGTTGAATTTTGCCACACAGCCAAACAACCCCCTGCCACAAGACTTCAGCCACTTTGATGAGAGGTATCCCTTCTTCTTCGGTCATCTCAACAGTCCGCCTCGGCTGCCAAACAACCCCACCCCTCGCGTGCCGGTCCTCGCGCGCCAACGACTGACGGATGATATCATGCATGCTCTTCAACGCGTACAGCCGGATACACAGTTGTGGAGAGACGACGTCGTGGTCCTGTTGTTCTGGGAGATGATCTGTGAGGCTGCCATGTCGGATGCTCGTGACGTTGTCGGAGACATCGATGCCTATCATGCATGGGCTCGAACCATGATGGCAGATGGAGTGGACTGATCGAGGATTTGTATCCCGTTGGCAGATCATGAACACGGGAAGGTTGGGCGATCGAGAAGGTTGTCGAAGTCAATCAACAGCAATCTTGACATGAAGCTTATTGGAACAGGGGCGTCTCGTCACCAGCGTCACATATCAAATCTCCTACCAGTAATCTGGCCGACGATCTCATCGAGATACAAGCTCACGACTTGCCAACCATCCAAAGCTTGGACAGGCGATACTCCGTCCCAACCCGATATCCGCATGACTCTCTCTCTCAACGAGGCGCAGGACGCTAGAGGTAGCGTACGTGCCTAATCTCGAAATTCAATTCCTGTAGTCATATACATAAGTGAATCCCAATCAAATGTACTGTGCAAAACCGGATAGATGCTCGAACAGAAAACATATCAGGAAAAGAAAATTGTACCAGACAAGATCAGAGACTGCTTACCTTCTTATATTGCGACCAACCGTCAGGTGAAAGGACAAGCAAGCAAAAAGTACCAGACGATAAGAGCAAAAGATATAATTGCCCCTTGTGATAATTGAACTCACGACTTTCCATTTCAGAAGTCAAGATTACCGCCTAGCTTTTCAGCCCAGCGGGTCTCTCCGACTTACTCTGCTTGTGTTTGCAAGACATTATCTGAGGAACGTGCTAGCCACTACACTAAAGGGGCTGGAGATGTTACGCTGGCAGACTTGGTGATTAATATAGGTTGAGGGGGAAGTGAGGTTACAAAAGTGGACTATTGGTGAAGAAATCCCACCATCGCTGAGCCATTTCGATTTGAGCTGATTTGTTTATTGGACTGGAAATCCAGGGTGTGTTGACCTTTCTTTAAGCGACCGGTACTAACGGAATCTATCTACTCCTCATGAGTAGCTTAATACTGCAATTCACGTTCGATTTCCCAATTCGGTCTGCGCTCGCCGCAATTGCTGCCACAAGGACGACAAAACTACCCGCCGCAACTGGGGCAGTAGAACATACTTGGCCGTTAGAAGCGACAGAACCAACCACGATTATCCTCACATATCAAGAGGCCCGGCTCGCCAAACCTGTCTTGGTTAGTGACACGATAAGGCTTGTCCAGAGGCATACCAACGGTGGTGTTCCAAGGAGGTAGATGATTGCACTGTATAATGGTCAGTCATCTGAGTATCTGCACCCAGTCTCTGGAGTCTTATATCTGGATTGTTTTGCCTTCAGTGCGGCTCTCAATCTCTTCCTGGGACTTCACAATATTGCTCTTGTGAGTTGCGCCTTCGCGTTCGATTGTCCCAACTCCAAATGTACGTGAGCTGGAGAGCCGCTGCAAAGCAGGAACACAGATGATGAGATACACAAAGACGTCAGAGGTCGTGGTATCATCTTGTGTCCCGTCGGTATTCTTGTACTGCTCGATATGTATTTTTGGTGGTCATATTCTGGGCAAACCAATCTCGAATGAACAGAAAGGTACTGCTCGTGTTTCTCTGCTTCTCCCAATGTTGTCCTTGTTCGTTACTTACCAAATGCATTGTAGATCAATGCTCTGATGTCAAGATCTGATCGATACGTGGAACGTGATACACGTGTTGGACGCTCCAAGATATGAACGGACCAGCACTCTTGTTGAAGAAGCTATGACAAAACAGCATATTTACAAGGTGGTTCCTCCGGATCTTCCTTATAGAAAAAAAGAAAAGTTATAGACGTGGAGGGACAAGGTCAAGCAGATATCAAGATGTGGCAGAACCATTCACCGCCTAGCCTCAGACAACGTCAGCTGCTGCATTGTTTTCGTGTCGACACGATGACATGAACCACAACGTCAATCATATATGCTGTACTTTACAAGATCGCGAAGTTCTTTGCAAAGATCCTATCTGAGTACTCAGCTTCGTCATCGCTCACTTCTTGGAACAAACACATCGAGGTCCTCACCAGGACAGGCGATCAGGGTACATAATGGCAGTGACAGGCATGTCTTGGAATGGATAATGCCAACTCTCTTACGCAAAACGGTCTTTGAGTATCTTCCGCTGGGGGACACAGACATCGTATTCTCATGGTACATTCGATACATTCTCATCGGTCCCGACCGTCTCCAGCATGAGAAGTCTTGGGTTCAATGATGTAGATTGGCGCGGGGCAATGCTCGTTCGCTTTAGTCAATAAGAAGATGTGCGTACTCCATCTGTTGAAAACATTCGATTGTACGAACGCAAGAGGGTGTGTCGAACAATGTATGCTTATTGATGGGTGATGAACGAGTAGAAAGAAGTGACAAAAGTTGGAAGGGCGTAAGCGTTTCGATTGGATTGCACCTTGTCGTGACCTGAACTCAGGATCAGGCAGGTGCGAGTCTACTCAGCCAAGTCTAGAGTGAGTGCTCGTTCCTTTCAACTCTCCGACTCACTGTTCAGGACGCGCCAGGGCCGCGTACTCGCTTTTTCTCTTTGCCTCACTCTTCCACGTATGATCGAGTTACTACCATCACATCTGCCACATGCCGGACTCCATCGATTCTGGATTCGCAATGCTGTCCCTCGACGATGAAGACAGTGATGTGAGTCCTCTCCTGATCGTTCAAGATTTCTTTACTGACCTTGCTGTCTAGGGAGGAGTTCGCTTATCTCGTGCTTCCTCACCTCGTCCTGCCACTCCACTTCTCATGGCTTCCCACTCTTCCAACGCGCTTGATGATCAGCCCGGAAGGGCTGGTCCTGCTCTACCATGTGGTGCTGATTCTGTCAGCCGCCAGGCGAGCACCTCCGAATCTGCGAATGCCACTCCCGCCTCGTCCTCGCCCATGAGTCATCACGACCTGGCGATCGCCTCACTCTCTGCTGCGAGTCGTCTTGTGGATATTCATGAAGTCAGAGAAGCTGTTGTGGGTGGCTTCTACTATGTCCGCGACTGGAAGAGACTCCAGCCTGGTTGGACTCTGGAGGACAGTAACCNNTTGAGGTAAGCCAAAGCTGTGCCACGCAGTCTTTCTGTCGGAACTTAACTGATCATTGATCAGTGCTCTCACATTGGCCTGCGCAGTGGTCGTGAAGGAATAGTTGTCGAGCCTCCATCCTCGGTTTCGCACATGCACATGTTCGGTGAGCTCGGCGTCCTCCTTTGCGAAGATGGTCGTTCGCCGAAATGCCGCCTCTGGCATCGCAACCTCATTCACTGTCACCAGTGTGATACCTATGCCTGCAAACCCTGCCTGGAGATGCGTCTGAACCGCACCAAGGCCAACGCCAAGCATCGCACAAGACCTGCCAACCAGAAGAGAAAGACAGCACGCGCCGCTATGTTCGAGTAGTCGGCCTTAGAGCAGTAGAAATCACCCAAAGTGTGACCCCTCTGGACCGCAAAGACTGGTAAAGCTATGTCTCGATGCCATCATCATCCTTTCTGGGTGGCCTGATCAGTATCTCCAGTAACAATGCATTCTTGTTTTGCTTCTCTCCTCTCCATTCATGTTCTCTTTGTCTTTTTGTAGTATGACGCTCGCTATACCTTGCATCTGTGGTTCAACATACACTCTCCCGTACGATCTGAGTTCCTTATCCTGTCGATACAGTTTATGATTTATCTTCTCCTTCAACAATATCTCAGGCCGCAGAAAGTAGAAGGTAGATAAGTACCCTCTCTCATTCTCTGAGGACTTATCTTGTAGCTATAGAAATGCACAATGTTTTCCAGAAAGAAGTCGTAACCATGGAGAGCCATCATTTCAGCAAGCTTTCATTGCTTGCTTCTAACTCAATAGGCACCTCACATCTCTATAGCTGCGGATCAAGATCTGAGCTCAAGTCCGTCGCGATGCGAGCCATGTCCTTGGATTTGTCATGTTTTCTCCAACACAAGGCGATATCTCGTCAAACAACAATCTGCTCGCTTCTTTATGGGATACCATCGTAGAGGTGCAGGACATATGCTCGACCCATTTTGGACAACAAGGTACCGATGATCAGTCGCGGCCTGAAGCTCATACATCAGTATATGCAGGCGATGTGGCATGAATTCACATGTACCAAACTCGGTACAAGATTCAGGTTGTCCGGTTTACATCCTCGAGCTTATTGATTGATCTCCGAGTACTTTTCTCATCGCTCTTCAAAAGCCAAGCAACACCCTTTGTCCTGTCTCTCGATCAAGAAGGCCATTCTTCGCTGTAATGAGTTAGGAAGCACGTCGTTGCTGCCGTTCAAAGATGTCCGATATCGCCTCATGTTTATTTCTCGTCGTCTCGAACATGGCATTTATAACAGATTATCTGGTTGTCATTAAGGAATTTGTCTGACAAGGCTTCTGAGTGCCTCTCTCTCTCCGATTTACAGTTGTAAACTAAACAGGTTACCGTTCCTCTCGTGATTGACACACAAAGATGGCGAGGTTCTTGCTGTGTTTCGATTGTGTAGTGAAGATGCCAGTGCTAAAACCATCCCGTGGTAACATCTCCATCCGCTTTGTCTTTGTCTTTAAGATGTGAAAGTATATAGGTGCGCTGGTTAGCCGCTAACTTCATGCTAGCAATAGTATTAGCAAGATGATGTAAATCACATGCAAAATCTCGCACACTTCACCCCCCTGACCCTGACCTTCACTCGACTACATCAACCTCCCAAAACCCACCACCTCTACAACACCACTAGGTCTAGTCTATACTGATTGGCCTTGGTTCTCAACAGACCAACCATAGTCGCCGCTTTCGATAGCTATCACCTTTGGTGTAGTGGTCAAGTGCACGATGAGTGGTTGGTCTTTTCGTCTTCTTTGGGACACTGTGTTTGACGGAGTGACTGAATGTGGTGTTCTTTTGGCGCTTGATTTGCTTCTGCATGTGACGAATACTATGAACTTACTATTTTCTGTATAGAGCGCCGTTCGCACTGTGAAGTTGGAGGAATATCCCCCATGCTGTCAAGATACTTGGGTCAACAAACAGGCAAGAAAAGCTAATGCGGATGTAAGACTTTATTTCAACTGCTGTAAAGACTGTATTCCTGCGCCATGTGCCTGATCTCATCCAAAATCGTCCTCCTCTGGCTGCAGATAATCAAGAAAGATGATTCATTCAGGACCAATGTTTTCAATACAATGTGGACACTCTGCCGTACAGTCCTTGATGGTCTGACACGGTGTTCGACTTACATCTCGTAGTCAAGTTCACTGTCCGGCTCACTCACGACTTCGTCGTCATCGATGTACTCGGGAACTGGAACTTCACGGAAACCCTGCCTGCACTCAGCCAAGGCTCAGTATGGGAGGGACTGTAGTATTCTTACTGACTTGACGACTGCGAAGCCGCCAGTGCCAATTTTGAGAGGAGGAGCTTTGACTGTAGAGGCAAGGGATGAGATTGAGCGACCAGAGCTGGATGTGCCGGAGGTAGTAGTGTTTGTGGGCACACGAGTGCTGCGACTGGTCGATGGGACGGGCACGAAGCCCTTGTCTGGAGTCAAGGGCACACCCCCATCGGTGGAAGCTTGAGAAGCAAGNATCGATTCTGCTTATGTCCTGACCAAAAGTGTAAGCTATAGCCCCCAACGTGCGCGATATGTACTTACGGCAATGTACTCGTCGTCAGAGCCATCCTTCTCAAGCTCTTGCTGCTGTCCTGGTCTGAAACTCTCGATCTGGCTGATACACATGCGGCATCTGGCGGTGTCTGGAGCGTTCCTCTGAGTGGTAGAAAAGTGGTCAAGGGGGCGCTTTCTGTTGCAGCCAGTACACTTGAGCTCGACAGGGGGAGCACCAGTACAGTTGTTGCAGAGAAGCTTCTCGAGTATCTTCTTGTCTCCCATCCTAGCACCTCTGGAGGTAAGAAAGAACGTGGCATCGTTCTGACGGTTTTTGGCAAACTTGACGAGGGGACGGAACTGGGAGCATCTTTTACACCACACGCTAAAGAATGTCAGTGTATGTCAATGGTGTAGTTGGATGAGCGTACTTGTTGGGCAGAGAGCGAGCATTTCTGTATGCCAGAGGTAAGGAGCGAGCGGTTCTGGCTGATGAGTCCATATTGTCGGACAACAGTAAGGATCTGGAGGTCGTTTGTCAATAAATAAGAGCACGTAAGGCGAACAATCAAAGGAGGGACATGAAAGCAAAGGGGGTCAGACTAGCAGAACACGCGGTGAGAGAACGAGACTGGAGAGGAGAGATAGCGGGTAGTGCTGGCAATGATATACCATTGGTATCGTGTTGGAAAGGGATGGATATCTTACAAGATGCTGATGGGATACGGATGTTTGTGGGTGTTGGTGGAGAAGAGCAAGAGAAGAGAGAAGGTTCTGTTGTTCTCTGAAAAGATGAGAGACAAACAACGAAGTCAGTTGCCAGAAAAATATGGAAGGTACGATTGTAAGCTGCGTTTGGCAACCTCGTTTGCTCGGCGTTGCTGAGACAAGACACCCGATCAACAAGACAATCCAGTACCCAGATGTATGTTATACTTCCAAAAAGCAGGAGAAAGATCAGACTTGTATCAATGGGCTTTGATGGAAGTTTTCAATTGTGAGATTGTGAAGGAGTTGTGCTGTGGTTGTATTTGGTGTTTCGCAACACATCCAATTATGATTGTCAGAAAGCAAAACACTGTTAGTCAGGCCCAATAGAATTGATCTTTGAGATATAGCAATGCACCTGGTCTTGTTGTGTGTCACTTGCAATGATGGGACCTATATATCTTGTAGCTTGGTTGGTAGGCTTCAGTGCAGCAAAAAGCTGAGTCCCTACATTGATATCAGCACCGACGAAACAAAGCAACAATGGGACCAGTCCCTTGCAGTAGACCCTGCATGCTCATGCATAATGGCTGTCGTAGGCAAATATGATCTGTCACGCCGCTGTAAGGCAGAATCGCCCCTATGCCAAAGCTTCAGCACAAAACATTTGCACAGCACACAAGGCAGAAGTGGAGAGAAGAGGAAAGATTCATTATACAGGCCTCAGCGTTCAAGACCCCATGCAGGTGAGGCCGAAGCCCGTCACATTTTGCATCGCCATGCTGAGACAACCCATCAACCAGGTCTAATTTTGCGCTCTAAAGGATGTATTGGTACAGGATGGAGGTATCGTTGTCGTTGTGCGCGTCTATGCAGTTTCGTCCTTGAGGAAGGAGATCCTTAATTTGAATTAGTGTATGTCTTGGTGTGGTTGTGGTACAACAAGAACTTACAGGTCGTTGCGGTCCTTGGCCTTCTTCAAGCCACCGAAGGCCATCTTGGTGCCGGGAATGTACTTCTTGGGGTTCTCGAGGTACTCGAACTAGCCATGGTGTTAGCAGCCTGTCTGGTCGAGAGCGCAAGCTCAAAAAACTCACAAGNNGGTGTTCTCCTCCCAGGTGATGCCCTTCTGCTTGTTGGCATCGGAGTAGGCGAAGCCCTCGACCTCACCAGTCTTGCGACCAAACAAACCGTGAAGGTTAGGACTGTGACGTGTATTAGCGTCTGCATCAGCGGGAAAGGTGGTATATCTCGAGCGTAGTTGGCGAGAAGCGAAGCCTTGCTGCGAAACTTGTGGGAGAAGACACATACCCNNAATCTTGTTACCCTCACCCTCCTTGAGGTTGTGGCACTGAGCGCAACGGGTCTTGAAGAGGTTGGCGCCCTTCTTGGCGTCACCTGTAAGGTGTGGTTAGTAGGATGTTCTTGGTCGGGTAGCCATTGGTGGGTAGAAAGGGGGCGGCGGCGAGTGGAAGCGCAGGGATGAATTCGCAAAATCGAGTCCTCCGTCGCAGACAGTATCGAGGATTGAGAGCTGTCCGAGTTGCGGCGACCAGGTATTGCTCGTTCGTGTTGCATCTCCTGTGGTTCCAGAGGCGCTGGCGAGGTATGGTGTTGGAGATGGAAGAAACCTACCAGGTGCGAAGCTGTCCTTGCCCATTTTGACGGATATGTGATGTGTATGAAAAGATTAAAGGTATGTAGGAGTTGTGGCGGTGATTGAAGGAGTGAAGAAAGGCGGATGGGAATTTTGTTCGACGATTGCGGCGACCAAGGAGTTTCTAGGACGAGGGCGTCGTGCACCGACCACCAAGACCAACCAATCAGCAGAGGCCAGAAAGTCAATAATTGTTGGAAACACGCTTGTCGCTCGGGAAGCCTCGGAACATTTCTTGATTTGAATCGTTTCTTTGCTTCACCAGCGTGGCGATGTCCACCTCAACGTATCATAGACTTGTGCTTTGTGAGTCTTCAGACTCGTTCTCGAACTGAAGCCCTTCCTGTTCTTGTTCGTTTGGTGGCACAATGAACCCATGACCTGCGAGCAAAGCCACAATCCAAAACAAATTCTTCTTCTCCTTATGAGTTGATGCACGCTTGACGCGTTCTGACATCGTGTCGATGAAATCGCGCCAGCGGCTCAAGCTCCTTCAGCGTGGAAAACAGCCGCCTGGGCAACACGCGAGGGAGATCTTGATCTGACAGTTGATGATGATCTGACCCATCACCTACTTCCATGTTGGTTTTACCCGAACACGGCTCAACGCTTCTCTGTTGCGGCTCCTCCACCAAAAGCCCATGTTTGCTTTCGCTGTCAAAGGTGTCCGCATCTGAAGCACCCTCCTTGTTAGGGCCAATATCCAACACTTTTTGCGAAACATGAACCAGATACCCGAGATTCTGTATGGCAAATCCGGACAGAAGACTTGGTGTATCGTTGGTGCATCTAGAGGTATAGGTCTGGAGTTTGTGCGACAGTTGATTGCTCGTGAGGACCGCATATTCGCTACTGTACGCGACACCGCCGCCGTTCATGCATCTGGGCTTTGGGCGCAAGCAGGAGGTGACCATGGTCGCTGTCAGATGTTGATCTGCGACGTCTTGTCAGAACAAAGCATAAATGTACATGTGCTCCTGCTTTCCTATCATTCTTTCTTTTCCTCGTTGTCGTTCATATCCTTTCTTACCATGTTGTCATTGTCATTGTCATTGTCGTTCGGATCTTGGGCTTCATACAAGCCCACATACCGCATCTCTCGTAGTCACGGCTAACATAGTATTGCAAAGGATTTCGTTGCTCAGCTTGCCTCAGTACCGAACCTGAAGCTGGACTATGTTGTAATTAATGCTGGTGTGTTGAGGTATCCCAATGTAAGTAGATGAGTGTCCTCAAGTTGTTTCCGTTGCTGACTGCTGTAGAGAGCGACTGAATTGTGAGTTGAAGAGTGTCGATGCCATATTGTCTGAGCGAGGCTGACCACCCAGCNNTCTTTCGATGAATTTGCCTTCCACCTACACACCAACACGATTGGACCAATAATCACTGCTCAGAGACTTCTTCAGACAATGATTCCGATAGGTACCATTGTCTTCATGTCAAGTGACTCTGGTTCGACACAGCGATTCCTGGAGATGGAAGATGNNGGTAAGTACTTTGTTCAAGTATTCTGCATCCTCACTCACCGCTTCTTCAGGTTCGCAGCTTACTCTGCATCAAAAGCCGCATTGAACCAAGCAATGCGGCATATGGCTGCCGAACTCAAGCGAAAAGACGACGACACCATCTTGCTAGCAATTCATCCAGGAGAGGTTGCCACGTATGTACATCTGATGGGCAAGTGGGATGAGACCTATGCTGATGAATCACGCCAGANNGATATGGCCAACATTGACCTAGGTTGGGAAGTGGACGGCATAATGACACCGCAGGAATCAGTATCGGCGATGATCAAAGTCATTGAAAGTAAAGGAATACAGCACAGTGGAACCTTTTGGACTTGGGAAAACAAGGTATGTGGCTCTGATCATTTGCCTGAAAGGTTTCCTGACTCTTGCAGCAATACCCCTGGTAAGAGCATGGCCTGTTGTACTTGGTATGCGGCCACCAACAAGCATCATTCGGCAAGGACCCAGCCCCGGTTGAAGAAAATGCTAAGAACAAAGAGAATGAGAACGGAAAAATCATGAGACATTATTGGCAGTGGAGCCCGATGAACAAGTTCGAAATTAGGTACATATAATGTTGAATGCTCGACTCACGCTTTCAGTTCTCTAGATGCTTATTACCCATCGAGTAATATGTCTCGTGATCGACATGCCTTATACAGTGACCTGCATGTAACGATGAATGTTGAGACATTTCCTTTGTCGGGTCATCATGCCGAACACATGTTGTATTGTCAAGACCATTATCAATCGGTAGCATGATGCGACTCGAGCATTGTATGGCAAACAGAACGGCATGTCGGATGCATTCTAGGGAAACAGTTGTGAGCCTACCGAAATGCATGGGCGCCAGGTGCCGAAAGCCGCTGTAATACGGGCCTGAGTGCCGAATATGCATGCATTGGCCCAGTGGCATGAAAGGCAACAGAAGGAGACCCAGGGTGTTGAGAAGAGGTGACTTTGTCGTGGCCTGGATTGGCTGGACAAGGTGGTGGTACACACAAGGTAGAGTTGACCAGTCAAACGCGGGCCGCGATTCTGCAACGGCTTTGGACTTCTCCTCAACTGCAGGATTCAGCGAAGAGCGGTGTCAAACACATACAAAGGCATTCAATGACATTGAGTTGATCCAGACAAGGTTGGACGCGGCTAGAGAAGCGCAGTCCCGGCAGGTAGGTGATTGTAGGTCGTAGGCTGTGAAGGAGGACGAGCAGCAGCGATCGTCGGTTCCTTCCTCATGCGCGTCCGCTCAGGCATCCCTCGACACTTGTTAGCTTGTGGGGTGAGATGCATATATCCACCCTTCCACCTGGCCCCGTCGACTCAGATGACCTGTTTGGCCTGCCCTTCTGTTTCTTCTGCTCTCGTGCTTTTCCTAAGGATTTCTCCCGCATCCTCTCTTCCGTCCCTCCTTTGCGTCACAACATTCTTCCTCTTCACTAGCCAGCTGGCATGGCTTCCTGGGACAATCATGACCACTCACGCTTACGTTACGACGACTCTTACACCAAACCACGACGCTCACGAAACGACTCGACGTATGTCATCCACCGTCCTCCACACATCCATGATTCGGCACTGACAGCCCATCAGANNCTCGACCCTACCTATCATGACTTCACACAACCATCCTTACACCCCTCCATACCTACGAGAAGCCGCAGTCGCGCCCCCACTAAGAGCAGAGATCACAGCCGAGCACCACGCCGATGGCCCNCTCCACCATCTGTTGAAGACGAGGAAGTCTCGCTGAGGAGGGAGCACAAGCCAGGACGCACAACCTACGACGACATCCCCTCAAGAGGCGCCATCGGACAAGAACCACTGCTTCTCGATGTGCCCGACTACACTCCTGATCGCCGCTTCGTCTGGGTACCCTCAGCAAACAAGTCTCCCAACACACATTCCACACCTCCGTCGAGCGACGACGAACGAGCTAGACGCCGCGAAAAGCGCAAGGGTCCTCGAATAGAAACAGCTGGACTTCCTGAGATGCGAAGAGAAGCTTCACCTTATGCCTGGACAAAGTCAACTCCATCCACGCAAACACCAAAGACATCAGAAGGTCTCTTCCTTTCGCCAGAGACTCTGACTCCGCCTGCCGCTTCCAAATTCACGACTTTCGACAAGCCGCCGTCAACCAGCACGCCTCGCCCCGACTGGTCTGACTCAAGCCAACGTTCGCAACAAACCTCAACAAGAGACGGCACTCCACCACGGTCAACTTCACAGCACGTGTACGAAGGACGTAGTACAGCCGAGGCCACTCGAAGTGCAGAGGACCACGTACCCAAAAGATCGTCGACACGCTATTCTTGGACCAAGCCAGACCAAACCCACTCGTCTCCTACATCACCCTTCATTCAGCCCATCAGCGACCCTTCAAGGAGACGGTCGGGGCCAATCGAAGACTACTCGCTCCCGAACGAATACGCGCGCAAGCCTGCACCACCGCAAGTTGTCAATTTGCAGCAGTCTGGACGACCAGCAAACCATCCACGCCACTCGAGTGAAGGCAGCCGCACCTCTCCTGATAATCTTGCGCCTGTTCGCAATTCAAGCTCGGACAAGTTGAGAGACAACTACCCTCCCAGTATTCCCAGCTCCAGACCAACATCGCGAGGAGGATCGACCCAGTCCTCGCCACAGCCTTCACCTCGCATAGTGCACCCTCCTGAATACCCCTGGAACATGGGATCGGCAGCTTCAACCACAGCACGCCGTGCACCACCACCTTCTCGTCTCGCCGAGACAACTGCCCCCAAATCGCCGCGCCCTCAGGCATCGAGGTCTGTATCTAGTCCGTACTCGCCACTTCCTTATCCGGATGACGATCGCCCGTTCGAGATCATGCCTTCAGAAAGAGATCATCAATACTTCCCACAACAGACAAGCACTTTGCTCCCGCCATTCAGCGAACCGGTGACGCGTGCTAGCACTCCGAAGCAGCCAACCCAACCCAGCAAAGTGCGACCGACCGTTGAGAGATCTGCAACATCTGGCGCTTCAAGACGTGAGGCATCGAGATCTGAAGACATGTCTTCTGGCACGAAGAGAATTCAGATGGATAGGCTGCCAGCATGCAAGCGGATCACATACAAGATCAAGTACGACGACTGGTATACGCTAGAGGGACATCCTGGTTTCAATATCTGCCCGCGCTGCTTCAAGTACGCTTTTGACAGGACTCAGTTGGGCATGTCTTTCAACCTCTTGCCCAACAATGCGCCGAGGTTTGCCAGGAGATGCGAGTTTAGCAACGCTTGGATCAGACTTGCATGGGTTCTGACTGCAAACAATCGTCAAAACACGCTGAACACGATGATCACAATCTTCAATGCCGAAGAGACCGAAGAACCCTGCCCAGGAAGTTCCAGGGGTTGGTGCAGTTGGTATTCGATTCGTGACCGAGATGGCCATTTCCTGCGAGACTTCATCGTGTGCCCATCAGATGTCAAAAGAGTGGAAACGCTCTTCCCCGGGTTTAGAGGGCTGCTCGTACCACTTCCGACGAAGTATGCCTACGACAAGGAAGAAGAAATCATGGGTCGTTTCTGTTCCCTGCGACCAGAACACAATAATCGGTTCACGGCCTATGTGGATTGTTTGTTCCAGCTCCACGAAGATGCCGTGCCTAATCAGCGGCTGCCTAGTGCACATGAGTTTGTGTCACTTGTCCGACACAAGACCAGACTCCCCGAGTGCATCCGTGATGACAAGCTCGAGGGCGTGGATTGGTACTACATTCCGTCCTTGGCACCCGCCTTGACAGTCTGCGATGAGTGTTACCATGACGTGGTATTGCCATGGTTGAGGTCGAACTCGGATGTAGCTATGAGATTCAACCGAACGAAGCAGGGCGTTCGCAACGAAGGCAGTGGAGGAGTGTCTTGTCAACTATATTCACGAAGGATGCGGGATACATTCCGATATGCGATTGACACGAACGACATGAGATATCTCGCAAGAAAGGCAAAAGACAGGAAAGAAGTAGAAGACGATTTCCAGCGGAGGTGCAGAGACTTGCAAAAGGATGCGGAACAACTCAAAGGTCGTAGCGGGTATGCGATCAGCTCTCGGGCAGAGCAAGAGTTGATGCAACTCCAACGTGAGATTGAAGCTATTGGAGAGACTTGGGAATTGGAATGGGAGTGAGTGGAGACAAAAGTTCAATGTTCCTAATACAGACATTAAGATGATGGCGGTTCGACAGAACGACCAATTATCCTCTTGATGCATCTCGATTATTTTCCCCGTGCTGCATTTAATTAAATGGATATCGAGTGTGGAGAGTCGACCCCAGATTCAGCCCCATACCTCGGCATGTATCAACATCATCACATGCAAGACAAAGGACATGACATGAACATGTTGATCTCCGGACAAAGGCTTGATCTCATAAACAAGAGACTCCGATGTACGTGAAGGCGACATGGCAGTACAATCGAAGCTGTCGCTGCCGGGCGGCCTCGTGTCTGAAGGAACACTGAAGAAGGCCGTCTCGGACCTCACCACACTGTACCTCAAGCACCGCACTCGCATCTCTCGCACCATCTACATTGGTCTCTTTGTCACTCTACTGAATCGTATCCGTAACGCCGTCAACGAACAAAAAGCAGCCGAGCAACAACGACGAGCAGCATCGCGCAATGGAGAAAGAGAGGGGAGCACAACCGGCGGCAGGAAGAAGGTCGAGCTGAACAGAGAGTTCTTTCGCAACCTGATCCGCTTGCTGAGGATCTGTATACCAGGCTGGAAGAGCAAGGAGCTGCGCCTTCTCATCAGTCACAGCGTCTTTCTCGTCCTGAGGACGCTGATCTCGCTCTATGTCGCCGAGCTGGATGGAAGACTGGTCTCTGCCCTTGTCCGAGGAAAAGGCAAGGACTTCATCGGCGGTCTGCTGTGGTGGATGGTTGTTGCTATACCTGCCACCTTTACAAACTCGATGCTCAGCTACCACCAGTGCAAACTCGCCCTCCAATACCGCACTCGCCTCACCCAACACATCCACAACAAGTACCTGTCAAACATGACCTTCTACACTCTCTCTGCTCTGGACGATCGTATCAAGAATGCCGACCAACTTGTCACAGTCGATGTCAGCAAGTTTTCCAACTCTCTCGCCGAGTTGTATGGAAACTTGGCAAAACCAGTCTTGGACATGGTCATCTACAACTACTCGCTCTCCCGCAGCGTCGGTGGTGAAGGTCTCTTTGCCATCGGTTTGCTGGTTCAGCTCTCTGCTTCCGTCATGCGAGCTCTGACGCCACCATTTGGAAAATATGTGGCTGATGAAGCACGACTGGAAGGAGAATTCCGCTTCCAGCATTCGCGTATTATTGATT